TATATATATATAGATTAATGAAAACGAAAAATGACTTAAATAAAACGAATAATATGCTAGACCGTATTTGCTTAATGTGTTTTTATTTATTTGCCGATTTACCGGTACGCTAGTAGAAACTATGATCTATTTCAAAGGCTTGTTCCTCTAAGAAAAATGAATAAACGTAAGAATATTTTATAGAGCTTTATTAATTGAACTTCTTTCGAATGTCATCTTAGTGCATTCACTTTTGTTGCAGTTAATATTAAGTTGAAAATATATAAACAAAAATTTTACATTAAAAAGAATGCTATATCGTGGTCAAATAAACAACGTTTTCACCGCAGTGCCTGTTGCTTTTAGTTCGAGAAGGAATATATTATACAATGGATTACATCACCTTTAAATTGTCTTTATTCTGCTAAGACAGCATTTTTGAAAAAATGTTCGGTCAAGAGGCTATGCTATGGGTCATTGACAACATGATAACCTTGGTTACCACGATGTTTTCAACCACGACCACGGCAGAAGTATCTTGCTATGCAGACAATACCGAAAGGGAACGATGACCAAAAGGCTTGCTAAGGCCAATCCCAACAACATTTAACCGTTGATATAGCTTAACGACCTTTATTTTATCAAGCCGTAGGTCTCCACCATTAATTTGACAAGTTTTTTATTGTATGTGTTCTTGATCGTCGACCATTGAACTGGCTCTCGGCCAGTTCATATGTCGTCCATATATGTCCATATATATGTCGTCCGCTTCAGAATCTGAGAAACTCGTTAAATAAAGTTTAATGCTAAGTGCTCGCGGAACACTGCAGGGGTTCTGCGTAGTTTCTTGTATGCTGTCTCTAATTTGGATTGATATTAGCATTTTTTTGTAAATTATCAACTTCAGCTAACTTATGGTTATTTGGTTTTATGATTCAGAGTCAACGATAACTTACTTAAGTTTTCGGACTTTAAATTGCTTGTGTTGTTGTGCTTAATTTGGCTACATTACTTTGAAGAGCACTCCATTCGACTGCAGTAACCCTCTACTAGCTGACGAAATAACTTAATTTTAACGTGAACTTGTTCTAATTTCCCATAATTGTTCTTATTGTTAATGCTATAGAGATGACCCGGGTTTCTTGCAAGCACTGTTTGTCAAGCCAATGCTAAGTAGATGACCTAACTAAAAGATATACCCAACAAAACGATGAACAAGCTATTTAAATATTCAGATTAATTTATTTAATAACTCCTCGATTACTATATCTGCCTCCCGAAGACAACATAAGTTGTGTCTTGCGGACAAATATTGCTTCATTAATAAACCATATTCGTGTCATTGTTTTTTAGTAAGTAAATGTATATTGTCAGTCAAAGGAAGAGACGCTTTTTCTAATAATTTGATGCTTTGAAGTGATGCTTCGCAACACTATCTAGGCGTACGAAGAGCTACCGTCAAAGCATATCGTAGGAAATAAGCGATAAGACCTTTTAGCTACGCGCAGCAATGTCATACATACTATATAAACATTTCATCATCTAGCTCTTCGCTACAAGTAGTACATTCGTTCTTTAAACTTAAAAATAATGAATATTTCGTCAGCCGTAGCATCGCAACGGATAACGACGAAATTTAATTAACAAGAAAATTAATGTTTTGTCTCTGTACTTTTTCAAATGCAGAAAAGCCTCTGGGGATTGAGTAGCGAGTAGTAGTGAGGGAGTGAAGCGGAGCCTCACTCAGAATCAAAATGTTTTGTATAAGAGCGGTGGGTCCAAACCTTGCATGAACGTTTCGTGAAACTCTTCTTATGAATGTTTGTACAGGGCTTCCCAGTCGAATAAGATCCCCGTGTTTTCCGGATTTCGGAAAGTTTTTTTAATCGAAACGGTGAAGTTCTGCTCGTTGCGAAATTACGTCTTGAGTCTAGCTGGTTGCTTTCCATAAAAACGCAATGCATGCTTTTTTTGCGAGAAAGGGTTAAACAGTATCAATTGGTTCTAGGTTTTAGGAAGACCAAGTGCAACGACCCTTTGGCACCCTTTATGAGGTATAAAACAAATATTGATTTGAACTTGAATAGTAGCAATTCCGCCCGGTCGTGAGATTTCGGTACGATTACCATGTGGAAAAATAACTGTTTTTCGAAAGAATAATCATAATTAGCAATAATACTAAAAACTTAGAGTTTGTTACTCGTAATCACGTTATGCTCTTACCAGTTTCGTCATTCCAACTTTATTAAAGTTTTATTTAAATTTACTTACATTAATTGTAAGTGAAAAACGTTCTATGTGGATTTGATACGTGCGCCTGCGTCACTAGCAAGACGTTTTAAGAAAATCCGAAAAAAATAAATTATGAATGAATACGTAAGGCGATCGGAATAAAGAATAATAATAATAGTAATAGTAATCACCGTCATCAACATAATATTGATGTAGCTCGTAATATTTACAAAATGTTAGTACAAGGGTGTTCACCAACCTGCAATCCTTCTTACAAATATGCTCGGACTAACAGAAATTAGGCACACAGCATCGTTCTGTTCGGAATAGGACTTTACTATGAATAAAGCAAATGCTTTGCAAACCACACGTTGAGCAACGTAACGTGGTAGTGTTGGTGCAAATAAATAAAATATCATGTTTCCGCCCGGGATCGAACCAGGGACCTTGCGCGTGTGAGGCGCACGTGATAACCACTACACCACGGAAACCGATGGGTGGTAAACGGCTAAGCAAGATAACTTGGTGCACCGGAATGAACGTGACATTCCGATTTAATAAGTTTTACTAGTTTAGCTTAAAATGGCAATCAGAGAACATCAGAATTTCTTCCTGATAATTTCTTTTTCCCAGCCTATGTCTACATCATAAAATGCAGCCCAATTTATATTTATTTATGTTTCATTCGCAAAGTTCTGTTTTAAATAGAAGGATTTGGATACGACGATGGTCTCCCATGTATTTATAAAGAAGCAGCGACACGTGGAACTAGATTACGTTGAGCTTTAATTTTGTAAAGTAAATTTAATTTAGTAAGGACCAACGAAATCGTAGATTTTAGTGAGGGAGACGCCATCTTAAACGTTACCAGTTGCAGCATAGTTTCGTACTAGAACAACAGAGGTTCCATGGTGTAATGGTTAGCACTCTGGACTCTGAATCCAGCAATCCGAGTTCAAATCTCGGTGGAACCTGAGCTTTCACTATTTTTAAGTGACTTATTTTACATTTTATAACTTCAAATCTATATTGAGTTCATTCATTCAGATCAGTTTCTAACTATACTTGTTGAGTTTACTCCAGATTTGTTTTCTGTTTTTATTATTCTTCGATGACGCTTGCCATCGTGCTGTGCCTGGAAGCTACCGCTGGGTAGCACTGAAAAAATAAATTACCAACTTTTCATTGGAAAATCGATTAAAAAACTTAAAAGCTTCGCTGCGTCGGCCGGGAATCGAACCCGGGTCAACTGCTTGGAAGGCAGCTATGCTAACCACTATACCACCGACGCCCGTGTTGTTGAGCGCTCTGATTTCGCAAACAATAGATAGTTCACTTTGGCTGCTACTGTTTTTCACTGTTTAGATATCTCGTTCGCAGTTTTTGTTTTTAATTAGGCGAGAGTATTCGTGTGCATCACTCTCAATTCTCCTTGTATTGTAACTCAAATGATATCAATCAGTTCTTTGATATGTTCTGGACTTTCTCATGACATTACTCGTGGCATTATCCATTGATTTGCAAATCGAGATTTCATTTTGATATATAGCAATCGAAGTAAGGCTAGTGAGCTTCTAACAATAAAAACGGGAATAGTTTAAAAAAAAAGCGCAAGATGACTACCAAAAATTCAGGAATCGGATAAGGTTTCGGTACCGTTGTTTTATATTGTTTTTGCCTCACTTTTGACGAGCTAGAAGCTACAAATGCATTGTCTAAATTATCAATGGTATACTTACGAATGGTGCGAAAAATAAGTAGGGTTGTTATACATAATTTATATGCATTTCTTATCCATACACGAATAAATTTTGTCTTTTAATAATATAGTAGTACTATCTATTAATTCAATTTTGATAAAAGTAAATATACTCATTTTACTTCCTTTTTGGATGCGTCAAACAATTTTCATTTTTTTTAACTAAGCCCCTGAATTCTCACCGACTTTCTACTAAGATGACAGCAAAACACGCGTAAACCCTTTCGACGACGATTTATCTTCGACAGACAGAGGAATCTTTTTCTCTGGGTCAGACATATGCCTAACGTTTCACTACAGTTATTTTAATTATATCGCATTGATATATAATGGTTAAGATAAATCTGTTATCGTTCGTCGTCGATTTAACTAGTAATCAACGTTCAATCAATGCTTTTGCCCGTGAATGTTTCTGGATGATGTGTGTGAGACTGCTCGACACATTATCAAGTGAAAAAAGACTTTACTTGTTTATAAGAGACACCGCTAACCGTATACAGTGTAACTCATATATTAACGTATTGCAATAAAATTGAATAAAAAAAAAATTATGTGTATGTCTATTTCTCTTTATTTTTATTGTTGGCATCAGCCTGACAAACAACAAGTGATTGAATTGCGTATGGTGTATATAAAACGACAACTCTACAAAGCCATATGCTAGCAGGATTTTCTGCTTCTCATTGCGTTAAGGTAGCGACAAAATGCTCGCTTTCGTTTGCTCATCTTCTGTTTTAATCTAATTAAACTTGTTCCTTACTTAAGGACTGCGCTTCTGTGTTGGATCTCAGGTCTTTTTGTACCTTTTTTGGACCTTTACAGTCATTACTTCCGTGACGATTAGAGCCGGATCTCCACGAGACAATATGTCCATATCGTTTGCGAACTTGTTCGGTTTTTTACTGATTACAGCAAACATTAAAAAAAATGGTCTTATACTTTACCTAAAAAGGCATTAAATTATCCCTAATACTTTCGATAGCAGATTGCTATATGAAGCTATAAATATGAACCACCTTGTCAATGCCTTTAACCAGACTATAATATAATGTTTAATAACAAATTTATTTACTAAACGATCGTGATGAAGCTCGGAGACGTTAAGAGGGCATATGTTAATTGCACAAGTTCATCTATCACCTTCCGTGAACAGTTTCTGTTCTTATCGTCCTACAGAACACAACATTTCATAAAGAACCGTGCAACGAATGATGAAAGTAGTGACAAGCGAGGGAAGTGATTTATCCGAGAAAAATCTCATGTTCAAATATGGATACTTCATTATGCATTCAATTCCCTACGTATAAGCTAAATAATAACAGCCATTCGAATGAACTTTACTGATACCATCGCATTTATTTACATTTATTAGCCGGCGCCAATTCGGCTCCTTACGCGTACCGTTCTCCTGCACTACACGACTATACGGCAAATATCTCCTGTTTCCTTTGCGTCTCAGTGCCGTTTTTTTGTTCGGTTCAGAGCGCCGGAAACATCTAGGCATCGCTTCGTTCGTCTTTAAAATCGCTTTTCGTCTGCTAGCCTGTAACCATCATCACCATTCCATACTTCTCCATATCTTTCTCATGTTCCTATGTCACCTTCCATTTCTCGTTCGGTCAAACATTCGTTCTTCTACTCTAGTCTTGTCTATCGATTCGCTTTCGCTTTTAATTGCCACCATTTATTTCTTTTCTAACAGAGCACCGCATGTATCGACAGCCACTCACACACATACATACACGTAGAGAGACCGCCCCGTATTCGGCTTCTCCTCACCTACTTTGCAATATACCTCGTTATACCATATGTTTATGTGAATAATTTATATATGGATTTTGTTTATGTGTGCATGTGTTCGCACAAGCCAAAGCTACGCCTTTGATTCGTCCATACGAGTTCATTCTTACGTAATTCCCCGTCGTCGTATAACAATAGCGGAATTCCAATATCTAAGCTAAACGTAGCAGGTCATATTAATGTTGATGAAGGGTGAGTGTCGGGATTGGCAGGTAATGGGGGTGCGAGGGCGCCTTTTGATATCCGCTCTTTTCCTCTTTGCCTTCTCTCCTCAAATTTCTTCCTCCTCTGAAGTTATTTGCTTCAATACACAGTATAGTAATATGAATAGTAATTATAATAATTAATAGTGATATCATATTCATATCAGGATTATACTTTCTGCGTCGTTTGCCGTTCACTACACCTAACACAATGATATATTACGTAGCTATCTCCTCGTCGATTTCGCTGTGTCTTGAATTTTCTGCTCCCGATTGATTAGATGATGATTTGTATTGCAGGGCTTCGACTTTCAAACGTGTCCAAATGAACTTCAGACTGCCGTGAGGTTCACATGAGCGTTGTTTAGGAGTAGTTTCGCTCTTTCAATATTGTCACTGTCTTCTTTCATATATATATATATATATATAGCTTTTTGTCTCTTCGTGATTAATTGTATACGTGGGACATGTAAACAATAATAGATTTAATTATAATTACCGTTGTTATTTTTCTTAATATTAGATAATATTTAATACTAGGATCAATAATAATGTATTAATAGTTGATAGTGTTATTTATATTAATATGGAATTACGTCGTTCCGTACTGATCAGTCATCGTTGGCGTTGTTCTTTTCCACAACATCTTAGGGACAATCTAAGTTGCGCTATTGTTGTCCAGTCTTAGGATTAAGGTCTCGTTGTCGTGAGCAACCCAGGTTAGCTTCCTGTGAATGACCTATATATGTATTGTGCACTTTGTTTGTGACTGTATAAGTGTCAACGTGTTGCTATTTAAAGGTATTCATCTGACGGCCATGTTTCTCATGTACAGTCTCTGTCAGTATTGAGTTCACGGTTTGTCACGTGACAATCGTTCCTTTTCGGGTGCGGATGGAAATACTGAAAACCACCTTGCATATACCAAAAGTCTCAGTGAAAGGCTGCTAGCATCAATTAAATAGATTAAAGATAGATTCTATCGCACAGCGAAAAATCTGTCGAAGAGTCCAGTTCGTTGTTTTGGCGTCGGTAAACTCACCCGAGACGATGTTGTAATCAAGTACAATAAATTAGTTGTGGCCTATACCTATCTCTTCAAATCTTGATCTTCATATCAGCGTCGTTTCATTATCCTACGCTCGTCAGTGAGCGTGACACGTGCTCTCGCTAAACGACAGTCGATGTGTATCTCTCGTTATGATAACCTATTCTATTCTATGCTATGCGTATGTTACAGTAAAGCTTGCCGTCGATACCAGAACCTCACTGACGAAGAAGCAGCATTTCACCCAGCCTCGGCACACCGGTTTCAATATTATCATCATCTGTTTGGCAAATCCTTGTGTATAGTAATAAATATATTAACTATACTGTCCCTTGCCATGATAAAACTATTTTTCACACTACCAAAGAGAATAACGTTTGCGATTATCTTCGCACGATAATACGTTACCTCGTACATGGTCTGCTTGTCGCTTTTTGTCTGATTATATATGCGAATGTATCGCCCACATCGCGTAATACCTTCACCCAACGAATAGTTGTCTTAGTTGGCAGTAGCAGATGGCAGCCAGTAAGCGTGCAGTTTTTCTTTATCTATGCAACTATATTCCTCTGTGGGGATTTTTTACAAAAATTGGTTAGAAAAAACAACTGCATTGTTACGCTATGAATTACGTGTAATAGAAAAAAGCGTTATGACTATGCTAGAACACGCAGGTGTACCATCGTACCACAGAAGGTGTCATCGGCGTGTAATATCGTACCACAGTACCTGTCATCGCTGTGTACCATCGTACCACAGTGCTTGTCATGACCGGGAACCTCTTGCCTATATCATTCCAGCCAACGGTCGTTTATCTTCCAGTACCAAGGTACACAAGTTCGGAGAATGGAAAGTAGCAAATTGTTCTAACGTTATATCATATTCATCATAATGTACTGTGACAAGATAAATACCACTCAGCCCCTGTTGTTAAATTCTTTTTCTGGACTAATTCGAATTTAGCGGATCGCTACCCACCAAAGACGATTATATACGAATGATTATTCTCTTGTTCGGTACAGGGGCTAGCGAATATCCTGTTCTTAGAAAAAATACAACCTAATTAACTGAGGTACCTTTTCGCTCCCCCACATTTGTCCGTCCCCCTGTGCGGTGATTGGATTGCGCGACAATAATCACAAATTAATAATATATCTTTCATCTTAGTGCAGTGTTAACATTTTTCGCCATTTCTTCAAATGTTGAAATATTTCGCTACACGAACAGATTTGCCGTTGCCTTACTAAGTATTACTCATTCTCACACTGCCCTTCCTTTCTGTCTGGTTGATGGCAATGCCTCGTATAGTTTTGTTGCGATTGTTGAGTGTGTTATTTTGTCGAACACCGCAATGCACCGTGCGCATCACTTGACTAGGAGCAATGTGCCATATTACACAACAGACAATGGTTGACGCTGCAGCTCCGTATGTAAAATTGTTGCTTAGGGAACGTTTTGTATAATTATGATGTACAACACCTTTGTGTCTTAATCTACGCACTACATGTGCGGCTACGCAACAACAGATGGAGTTGACAAAGCTGCTGAAACAGAGGGGCCTACAGGGACACAATGATGTTTCGTGTAGACATGCATCTACCTGTACACGTAAAAACCAAAGACAGATTCGTGTTCCTATTTCGCTCTGATAAGGGCCGTTACTGCCTCGTCGGAAAAGCTATGCCTGATTCCTCAGTCGGCTAGCTTTCGACGATGGCAGATAGGCCAAACGAGATGAGATGCTTTACGATTTTTTACCCGGACGTGCCGGATAGAATATGGATCTTAGTAGATGCCAAGACGCTGCTGCCCCATAGGGCTGGCCGGGGACTGGAGTGTACACGACAATTGAGTTGAGTCGCTTCGCTTAGGTGGCGCCGGCTTGGCCTTCGGCGAGCTACAAACAAGGCCCGGCAAGTCAAGGCGAACCTGTTTAGGTACCCGAGGTCCTGACGGTGATGATGAAGTTGACTCCTGAAGGAGAATACCCCGAAGAGGGGCCTTGCGCTCGTCTTCGCTAAGCAGACGCGGGTCCCGGAAGCCAAGAATTTGATGCGGCGTATGATCTTGCATCGTGTTTAGAGTTTGAGCAACCTTCCACTTCTTGTCCATGACGCGGTGGAGGTCACGGAGGAATGCGTCTGGGGGACTTGTCATGGGTGAGGGATGTAACTCCTTTTGAACATAACATGGCAGCAAATAATGCTCTTCTGGTTAGTTTATTTCGGTTGATATGAATTCTAGGTACATAAACACTTGTAGCGAAATTAAAGTAAATCAAATCGCACAGAACCGGTGAATTACTTAGTTATAATTGTATTAAAAATATTGCTTTGAAATAAAGGAAAAGTCAATCACACAAACGCACCTCTTTCTGACCCAAGTGGATCTGGATTGGTGGTTTACTGCTAGGAGATGAGAGTCGAGTTGTTTCGCTGCGCCGTGGTGGGGTAGGTTTGGACCGGCATGGCGATCCCGAAGGGGAACCATTCTGGGTAGCTGGAGGTGACCTTGTTAACCAGAGCGGTGCGCGCTCATTCGTTGGAGTCGCCTGATTGCTGCCACTATTGTACATCGGAGAACCTAAAAGAATTAAACATCCGATTGTAATATACATGTGTTAATATACTAACATGTGTTAAAAAAGAGACTATTAAACAATCATTTTCTGTATTCTACCTGGAAGCCGCTTGAAAAACTGTGACATGACTATTGATCTCAATAGAGGTAACGGTAGTAGCTCTAATGGTAATAAACTCTAAGCGCTTTGCCGGTAAATGGTTACGTGCGTCAGAGAAATTTGTGACTCAGAAATGAGCATCGTATCTGTACCTGCGGTGGGCGTTGCTTGATTGGACAGTGGCGGACTGTTGGTGGGTGTCGTGAGGTTCGACGGTGGCGGGGGTAACGAGCTTAGCGATGACACCGATGGCCACGAGCCCTGCTCAGCAAGGGGTATCGGCGGCGGAGGAGGCAGCGAGTCGATCGAAGTGCTGCTCATTCCTAGTTGGGACGAAACACTACTCAGATTGGAGCTCGCTATTTGGAAAAAGATTACGGACAATCACAACAGAACAAAATGAATGCTTAGGAGTTGGTTAAAAATAAAATTTTTTTATGAGTATTGAATTGAGTTTTGACACTCTGGGCACATAAAACGTGGCCTTTACTTTTAAATAATATAATAAAAAAAAGTAATAAAGGAAAATATACGATATATTTGAGCAGAATAGATAGAGTATAATTATAGGTGTCAAAGCGTTTATTTTTACCTTGGTAGTGAGATGAGGCGGTATCACTACCTAGTGATTGCACATTGGCTGCCGATGTTGACTGCTCTTTCAAAGAGGTGGACTCGGCATAAATGACTGAAGGTGGCTTCTCGGGGATGGAAACAACCTTGAAATCAGTACGACATTGTGCAGCAAGATCTTGGGCCAGTTTTTCAAGATTCTTAGCTGTTAGTGGAGCGACGGGAGCATGCTGCGGGGACGCCTTGGGCGTTGCTTGGCTTGCCTCTGAGATGTCTTCGAGACTCGACGCATCTACAGGCGGCATAGGCAATAATTGGACGGCCTTGGTAGGAGTAAGGGGTCCTCCTTTAACGACAGCGATCGTACAACCAGCAGGAGGTACAGGCGCTGTCGGGGACGATACACTAAGCTGCTGGCGTTGTTTGAGCCGCGCTAAGGTGGCGGTCATTTGCTCGTCGGTGTGGGACCTTCTCAAGGAGAATCTCAATCCAGCAGTGCGACCCAAACTTCCTCCGGACCCAAACGATGAACCGGACACAATTGAGGCACTATCGTCAAGCGATGAACCAACTCCACTAACGCCGCTCGCACTGCTAGTGTCCTTAACGAGGCTTCTAGTAGTGTTTGTGAGGGGAAGTCGCGGCTGCGTCAAGTTAGGCTTCCGCTTAATCGTGCCACCGGGAAAGTCAAGATCGAACGCTACCGCAGGATCAGACGCCACAGAAGACCGATCTGAAGACATGCTACCGATGCTCGAAGATCCTCCGCTTGAGGAAGCGATCGAATCCCGTCGTCGTAACGTAGTCGCGCCGTTCGACGACGCTTGTGGAGTTGTATTTGCTGGAAGCTGAGCCACGACCTCACTGTTAGGCCTGCCGTTGCCAGTTTGGTGGACGGCGGGCGTGGTCTCGGATACGGCTTCGGCCAGCAACGTTGAGTCGGAGCCAGTGGAGGTACTATGGCGAAGCCTATGGTTGGCCGGATGGTGTTGCACTTGGCCATTCTGATCTATTGGACTGCCTTCGGATGAGTTTGAACTGTCGGGACTGACAGCCAACTGTTTTGCCATTGACGATACAGAAAATGAGCGATGATATGCAAGTTTCTCAAGGTCGGCCTCGACAATGTCTCGTTGTATAGCGTCGTAGTTGTCCTTGATTTGGCGGCCGTATTTTGCAATCCTTATGCCAGTCACCCATTTGTTCAATGTTGGTAAGTCGTCGGCGCATAGATATTTGATATTTTTGCACGACTTGCTCTGTATTTGCGGGTGCTTCATAGCGAAGCAAAATTCACTTGGCGCCTTATATTTCTTTTTCCATCCAACACCGTAGTAAACACAATTCATTTCAAAAGTTGTCAAACAAACGAGATCCTTCGGCAGTTTTGACTTGCCCTTGGGGCAGTAGTAGAGACCCGAAGCTCGTAGGACAAAGAAATGTTTTTTCCAATGCTTCTTACCCTCGGCTTTGAGGTACAGCTGGCCTTCAACCTCCGGCACAGAGACGCCGGACGTTCCAGGGGACAGGAAGAATTCCTCAATTAGCCCAGTCCGCTGGTCTTCGTCAATGTCTAACTGTGTCTGGGTGCCCGAGTCGGCCAGGTACTTCTCAGGCTGGGCAAACATATCGTACTTCAGGGGTCGCTCTTCGAACAGAATACGATTACTTGAGTCACGCGTCCATAGTAGAAGATTCTCGACCAGATTCTCATGTTCTTCGTAAATACGCTCTGAAATAGATACGCACGGTTATGAGCATAAAAGAAGTTTATACGATAAAGGTTTTGGTTTTGAAGCATCACTGTATTATACCACGACTAGAATGGCTGACTGAATAGAAAAGCGATAAAAACTAGCTGCTATATTAGATACAGTAATCAAATACACACCCATATACAATTCGGGTATTGTCTCAACTAAAGCCCATTTTGGGTCCATCGATACGTGACTTTTTTCGGCCAACAGCTTAGTTAGGTATGCCACTGACATCGTTTCGTCGACCAGGAGACTCTTCGCGGAGCCATCCGAACAGAATACCTTGATGAAAAGCTAAGTGAAACATAAACACATTGTCCCGTTATATACGCTACCTTAATCTTTCTTAAACACTACTTGCACAATTATCAGTTACGTGAACGGAAAAATTGATAAAAGTATACTTGTGCACCCCAAAAATATGTAACGTCTGTGAGTGCTACTAATTAACAATTCAACAGTTTTTCCCTAATTTTTTTTCCGAAAAACGCTACTCATTAATTCGAAGAAGACAGCTAGCAATCAAAACTACTAGAAACACGAAACACACCGTATTTATATGAGTAGGATTAAAAGATTAGTGTATGCAAATTTACAGTTCTACTAATAGCATAAGACATGATCTTCTGACGTGTCCTAAAAAGCCATACTGTGTAAATTGTACCTTTCGAATACTGGCCTCCTTGAGTTTCTGCAAAGCCATCTTAATTTTTTCTGCCTTAAGCTGCGCTGCTTGTTCCGCCTGTGGGCCAATAGTATACATGCGCACATTGAACAAAGATATAAATAAATCGCGTTCAGATTAAAACACTCATAGAAAAAGGTAATTTGTGATGAAACAAAAAAAAATTAAAAAGAAAACAAGATTAGACGGCGATAATGATTTGAGGGTGTTATGTTGGAAATATGAATTTTGTGCTGATAAGATAAAATAGCGAAAAAAAATTAACAAACGCACAGGGACACACTCGCGTGAACTACAAATAGCTGTTTACTATACGACTATTAATTTCTATTTCGTTTTCATCGTATTGCAAAAATAAGCAGCGTTTCAAAATAAAATTCGTGAGTGAGGCAGCGAGTATACGGCCGTAATATGTGCTTCGGCGTAAAACAGCGTAAATCTTTGTAAGAATTCAAAAGGTTCGAAATCGATTTATTGCTTTTAGTCTATATTGTGACTAGCAGAAGGAGAAACAAACGTATCATGGATAAATAACTAGGCAAACTGATAATAATTTTATTTTCTAAAGTTTTTCTAAGTGTATTAATTACATTATATAATGTGTTTGGTCACATCGCGAAGATAGCGCTATCACCATTGTCAAAGATTCGTAAGCGAGTGCCTTAACTCGCTAATCTAACTACCGTACGAATAAGAACAGCAAAAACATTAAAAAAATTTTTTTTTAGTTCTTATTCAACTTGGCATTTTTACCTGGCTCCTTTGGACATCATGGAGACATGCTGCGGTGGCCAGATCATCGTTGACCGTTAGAGTGCCTATTGGCTGGCCACCCATACGTTTGGCACTTTCCTGTGACGATGAAGTTCGCGCGCCCGAAGACGCAGACGACTCGCCAGAAAGCATCGAGATCGAATCGGAGAACGCTGAATCATTGTCTGGACTATCTGTGCGTCCATCGCCGCGCGCTCCAGCTATGATAACCCAACGTACGACAGACGATATTGAAATAGGTGAAATGTCAAACAGTAGGCACAGTAAGAGCGGCTAGAACTTGATGATTATGACTTCACTTTATAATTTCGTATACAGTTATGTAACACATAATATTAATAAATATACTGCACCATTCTGTCTACCATCTATTACAAATAATAAATCATTTGCCGCGATCAAACGATCATCAGTATTTGTCTGGGACGGACACGTGATAATTCAAAAAAATGTTAGTCACCGATGGTGTTGACTGACTCGGGTGCAGATCGAACGTTCTGGCTAGCAGTTATCGGGGTCGCGGGAACTATCGTTCGGGTAGCCTCCTTATTACTTCCGACGCAAGTGGGGTGACCCATTGGTACGGGAGTTGCAGCACCAACGTGTCCACCACCCTTCTCAGCTGCGATCATTCCCCAGCCCGTGACGCTGATTGGTGCCTGACAATCCTCGGTGGCAGCCCGAAGCCCATGTAATTCACGCTCGAATTGCGAACCAAGCGCGCACAACTCTCCTAGTATCGCATCAAGCTCGTTGTCTTGGCTCTCTATACATATTACGAAATTCGTCCGTATGGTCAGTGATATAACAAGCGTTATCCATTATGGACAACATGGTCCAATTGATCACCAGGTCCCGAGTTCGGTAATACCAACAATACAAACAATAAAACCGCTGATTAGTTATTGTCGTTAGATGACTGTCACTGACGAGCACAAATACATAAATTCATCTGCAAAATATGACAATTTATCAACCGCTATTAGACTCTGTCATGTAACAAGTTTCAGACCGACCGCGGTCAAGACTGCTCCCTATGATTGGAATCGTCCTGCGAAGAACAGTTAGCTAGGTACGGCGGCACCGCTATATTCGCATTTTTTTTTTCTTTTCTGCTATCAATCACCTTCTGGTCGTTCTCTACCCATACTCAGCTTCCTATAGATAGTTAGAATAATACTTCCTTTTTTCATAACTAGCATTGCTACCACCATTGTCGAAAAATTTACAACATTGCCATCGTCATAGTCATTATAACCTCCATAGCTCCTATAAGTATTACACCAGCTAAATATCATTACCGGAACGAATAGCGTGACATCCATTTCCAAGAGAAAAAGCAACATCATCAGTTTTTTTCCCTTATCCTTCTTTCACAAACAGTCATCCAGTGGATAGACGACGACGACGACTTACTTATTATCTCAGACAAGGAGCCGAGAGAGTGAAAAAAATATACATATTTAAATAATACAGGATCTATTTGCTACTTTTTAATTGTGAGTTTTCACTGCCAAATACGAGTATCTACTTGATAGCAGCAGCATGAGACGTGCTGATAATTGTTGGCAAACATTATTGACTCAACCTACAACGCAGTTACTTCTAGGCCTAGCATAGACACTAAGTGATGAAAGATTGCTATTTGCGCTGTTGTTAGGCCCATAGCAGAAAACGATAGAACAGAACGAATTATTGTATTGAGCTAAAGTCTGATTAGTGCACCCCTGGCTACTTTAATGACCATGGTTCTTCTAAGCTTGTCTCCTTGTTATCCTGTCTCTATCTGCTGCCTCGCGAACGCTCACCCCTGCGCTCCTAACAACGCCTCGTCTCTACAACAGCTTGTGTATAGCAGGTACGTAAGCTCCAACGCGAAATTTGATCGAACACATTGCAACCCGAACAAGTGGTTTCCAATAAAACAGCCACCACCACCTATGACGTGAAGAATACTACTCAAGTAAGAGAGCGAAAACAAGACGACCAGAAGGTATCACACGTAAATGTGTCAACGCCGTACCCAAATTGTCCGAATCCATTCAAGAGTGAGTTCCTGTAAATGGGCTTGCGCGGTCTGTATGGATCCTATAGTAGTGGTTGCGGTAGTGCTACGCGAAACAGCAAACCGGCGTCCACTTCTCTGCAAAACGTAGCAGACCTTGAGTTGGCATACGACTAGGCAAGGTTTCACGGAAGAAAACAGCGTCCTGTAGAGGAAAGTTGGCTCCAAAGCCCGCTGGATCTAGCTGGCGCTCCATGCTTCTCGATTGTAATTAGTTATTCAGCCTTTGATCAAAACACTTTCGTTCGAAAGGCAACGAGATACACATTAAACAAGACGCCGATGGCACCTGGTACAGATATAACTATGGAGTAGAAAGACGATCGTGCAAAATACGAAATGGTTGCCAGGAGAAAGAAACACAAGACGAAACGAGAAAAGTACATCTAGTACTCTTTGAAGGAAACCTGTAGACAGGAGCGGAGTCTAAAAAGGTAATCGCTGACCAGTTGCCAGGCTAAATGATAGGCAAACCAGGTTGATGAAGGAGGTCGAAGTGAAGTATACTGCTAACCGGTTACCAATTTAAAAAAGATCACCAATCACCGGATGTACGCATGAATCGTCATGGCAACATTGAATACTCATAGCAATAATCAGCTGTATAAAAACCGGACATTCTAGAAGGATCCTAACACAGTCCTCGAGTGTTTAATAGGAACAGTTATTATACCAGCAATTAAATGATTCATCATAAAACAATGTAGCCTTTAATTCCTTCTCTCACTCTTCAGTAACATCTACAGACGTGGTCGTGCCTGTACAGAAAGGCTGTCTACGTGAAACGCTATTACTTATACCACCATCAGATGCGATGCGAAAGGTGCAAACAAACAGACACCATTAGTACAACCACTACAGCTTACGAAAAAAGCACCTAGTGTTCGTAACGAGCATTGGTGGGTTAGGAATCTTATACGTGGTACGTTTTAAGCGCCATATCCGTAGGATTAATCAGCTGTGCTTGATTACAGTTTGACAACAAAAAAAATGGCCGCACATGTACTGTTACGCTATATTAATACACTTAGTCTCACTCAATTCAGTCGGCGATTACTATTACATGTGCGCATCACCTAGTCCTCATCCATTATCCAACTGCAAACATCGAATTCGAATGTCACCGTAAGCGAGGCATCGGCACTTCGCGGTCTCGACAATGAGAGGTCCAACTGATGAGGCCCTTTTGGCCATAATAAATGAATTACCGGATGGCTGTTCCGCAACCCGAACATACAAACATCCATTTCGTTCTGACGCTAAAATTCGGTGGGAAGTCCAAAGTCTGCCGACAGCCATCAGCGTTAACCTTCAGTTCTCCGCCAGAACTAGAGGCGAGCGATAGGCGGACCAAGACAGTGAGAGAAAAAGAATGAGTCGCTACGAAAGAGAGCTGCTGCTGCTATTGCTGCAAATGGCTGCGGCTGAGTCTCAACCTTGAACGAAGAGACTTCTGCTCGCATGAGTGTTTTGCAGGTATAAGTTCATGGCTTTGGTTGCAGCGACCGCAATGGTAGTCTCGATAGAAATAGAGGTATTGCTTGCAAGATCGGAGAGCGTTCGAACTACGATGACCTTTGGACGCCTTCGCTATTCTTGCGACCCTTCTGGTAGCGTATCGTCATCATCGTCGTCGTCGTCGTCGTCGTCGTCGTCATCGTCGTAGGCGATAGTGGCAAGTAGAAGACTCTGAAGAGCGAAAAAAGGATGGCAGACTCGACCCACTATGCGGAACCGAAAACAGCTGGACTGGATGCCTAGTAAGGCCGGACTTATCAACCAGATTTTAGAGTAAAAGTTAGCTAATTTAAAATGAGAGAAAGCTACCACCTAGCGGTCTGACGAGAAAGCTAGGCTAGATTTGCTAGACTAGATTGGCCTTACGTGCGATAGCTTAGGTTATAGTGGCCAAGGCTTAGTAGAGGAATGGTAGTGGCAGGTCCCGCAAACTCCCGCCTAGTAGAGAGGGTCGTTCCGTTGGACTGTTCAAGATCACCGCTTGCGTGTAGTTTCATTCCTCTCTAAAAAGCCGTGCCCCGTCCGTTGGCGAAAAGGGGACTAGTGCGGACCTTCAGACTGCGCGGTTCTACTGCTGCCAAGTACCGATTTAGAACTACCCCTCTCCCGTCCATAGAAGGAGCTTTGTCCGTATGCCAACTGGGATAATCGCTGCGGAACACTACCCAGCAGGACCTGTATCATCAACCCACTCGCTCCTAGTAATGCTGCTACACGCAACACTTGGCATTGTTATTCAACGAGTGATCGTGTTAAGGCACACAGCCACAACCAAAAGCGTTCGTTCCTAAAGCGCAAAAGGTGCGTCGAGCTCTGCGCGGGTCCACCGGCACAAATACAGTAAACAACATAGATGCGCCCGGACTGAATGCAAGAGATCCGAGTTTGACGAAATGGTCGCGCAAGTCGCTTTGATATTGTCGCTTTTCTTTTCCTAATATATACTCGAAAAAAAACGCACGCGGTGATAGTTCTGGTCCATGGAGGTGGACAATTATGGAGTGGACTAGTTACTTAGCGGAAAAGGAGCGAGTGGCCGTTCGGCGGTTCGTTGAGAGGTCTGCTATTTCGTGTATATCGAGGGGCAAAAGAATCAATGGAAAATGCTGGCGCCAATATTAGGGGCATTTCTTTTGGTGTTATTAATATCAGAACTAATCAGAAGAAACGTGATGGATGTAGACAAGCAGATATTGCAGTAGACCATAATAGTATCTAGAAGTATTATTTAGTCAAGGGCATTTCGTACTGGATAACAATCATGTATCATTGTCTATTATCTAAAGGCACAGAAAAGCGTTTTAGTATACATGGCTGAGGACAGCATCAAGCGCGATAGTTTACGTACCCTGGAGGTTGTGCATGGAGAAGCTATATGAATCTAAGCGCGCGACCTGAGATGGCTCCACGCTCGAAGCTCGAGCCGGTCCCTGAAATTAGGACGGGTATAGATTCCATCGTTAATATATATTACTTTCACAAAAGCGTAAAACCTTACTGCTTTGCATAGAGTAACTTAGCAGAAAAGCTAAGACCAGACTGTAACAAAACATCTAGAGAGCGCGTAGTACTACACAGAGGTAAATCTGCAACGTTCGAAAGGTTCATTGCAAAATTTGCCCCATTGATTCTAAACTACGGCTCTCTAGTAAGTTCGAACGCTGCTAAAATCTGCCGGCATAATGACAGAAATCGAGCGGCCATTCTGATATGACATTGGTTTGATAGATCTTATGGCTTATATTAATATTAGTCTTGACGCCACACGGCCTCATGCACATTTGTCTTCCTTGACCCGAATAGGGTAATGTGTCTAAGGTAACCAGATTGTACTCTGTTTATCGTATATACGATTTTCAGACATATCATAGCGATACTTTTATGTACGTTTGATATAACACCGATAATATTGGTGGCTCGTTCAATATGAAACGCGAGAAACACATAATTTCATATTTCAAATGCAACACTCTACGGCACTTTTCCTGTCTGGTTTCGATCTATGATACTTGTACTTGTCATTAGAATTTGAGACTGTTGACCACTCGGATATCACCGCTGGCGGTTTTAGCTGGCGGGTTGTAGATGAGTCATAAAAAATCGAGATTTTTAACCCGTTACGAGCTTCATCTAGAAAGAACAATAGTGGAGAAAGCTCGCCCTATGCAACGTGAAAATACTCCACTATTTAAAGTTTCACGAAGTAAATTTTGAACTTGAACATGGGCCTCGTGAAGGAATAACTTCCTACGAAGGCGAATATCGAATTGTTGACAGCTGAGATGCAAACCGTTCCCCTCAAAGCTTCTGCGTGTTACACTCAGGCTTTTTGTATTTAAAAACATCCTGCTCAAGCACGTTGATCGAATAAATAAGGTGAAAAAAAAATCTATAATAATAATAATAATAATAATGATAATTTTAGAAAGGATGAAAAAAGGCAGTTTTTGTCACAAGCATCAAATATTGAGTTGTGGCGAAAATTTTACATTACCTGTAGACAGTCATATCAGTGGGTAAATGCAGTTAAGGACATTAATCTCTAAAGCTATTATACGGCCCTAAAAGCTTGTTTGCTTATCTAGGCGAGTTGTTATCCATTTAAACTTCATGAATCCTTGAAGTTTACTTTACTTACAACTGAAGGAGAAATTCGAAATTAAGCATCATTTCCATTGCACGATCATGGTCACCCTCATAGTTAGAGTAACCGCAAAAAATTATGGAAAATTCAAGTTTACTATCTTGCCTAATATATTGATTAGGCACACTAACATAACAACGAAAGACGTTCAATAACAGCAACGTAACCTACCATTAGGTCGAGAAAAGTATCATCAAGAAGCAAATTTTCACTTTTTTTGTTCTGACACCACTTCAACATTGTGTTGTTCCTACTGTGTCCTATACGTCCTTCTAGCTAGCAACGAATAATTGTCACTGTCTGGATAAACACAGTCACACACGGTACCGGCACGGATAACGTGTCATGAGCATTAAATCATATGAGTGCAATCCAATCTATCGAACGAACAAACATCGTCCCTGGCTGTCACTGAAACTGGATTGTTTTAAATCTTAGTTAGCAACACTGTATTCTATCTTAACTTCTTCACAATAAACTGTTATGTCAAAAACTAGATAACTGTGCGTTGGGTTTTTCTTTTAACTTATTGCCACTAAAACTTTGTAAACAGATGAGCGGCGATATCACAACATTGGCTTAATCTGTCTTTTTGTTCGACGTGACCATCACAACAGAATCAGTACTAGTTAATAACTGAAAAGCGTAGCCTGCCTAGAGTCTGGATTTGCGGCGCCGTCCGCCAGGGTCGCTGTGATCGGCGTCGAGCATCACCGGTTCTTAGGAAAGGAGGCGTCTGCTATCAGAGGTTATAGCAAACCGAGAAGTGTTTAAGAAACGCAACCGGCCTAAGGAACACAACTAGGCCCAAAAGCGATAGCCCACAACGGGTCAATCAGTTAGCGCTTAGAGTAGAACGCTCACGGTGCTGCGGCCCGTTACCCGCCCCCGGGGCTGTGTCTCAATGAATATACGCTTATTACAGCCGCTTCCGGCGATCGTCACGTGTATTCATGGAACACAGATGACTGCAGGTCAATTTGATTCGGTTATTGTGTAAAAAATTTTTTCTAAAGAACGACATCATCTGATGGGCAGAAGGTGTAGAGATGTAGAGAGAAACATAACATATTGTTGGCAGGATCGTACCTAACAAGCGTTGAACTTGAAGGGGTGTGTGTAATTTAGAAACTGCGCCGTCTGAGTTACGATTAGCGCGTGACCGCTGGATCAATGGCAGTATAGAAATTTTGAAATTGGCTCGGTTACTCTCAATTAATTTGAAATCTTCTTTAGTGTTGTATTCGTTTGTTAGGTGAAGAGCAATCACGAGACGTGTGAGAACGTGAGCTACTTCAGGTAGTATATAAAGTGAATAAATTTGGTTCTTTCGTATGAGCTGTTTCTTGACTGTATCGAAAGGGAAAGATATGTTTCAATTTTTCTTTTCTGCATGCCGTGAAAATGCCCTTCCTGATGATCGCGTATAATCAGTTTAACTATCATTCCTTGCGACTACTCATCTTTAGTCGTGTTTAAAATATTTCTTCGTTTATCCGTAAATAGCTTCCAGCAGCAAGTGCGCGTCGAGCGATTTTGGCAGGTGTAAACCCGTTAAAGCGTCACTCAAGCTACGCTAGATATGAAAAATTTTCCCTCTGTTTTGTAGCGATGACCACGACAATCATGGATATTTTCGAACGACTCTTTGATGTTTGTTGCCTCATGAACAGAGAATGAATTTTATTTTGTCCTTTCGCCTGGCTTTCATCTGTATCCCGCACTGTGGCATTGTCTCTAGCAATGCCGCGCACATGTGTCGATCAGGCGTGCAAGGGGGGTGCTGGGGGTTTCCCGTCGCAGTTCGCCCTGCGAACGACCTACTTGATCAGGCGATCAAAAGAGTCTCTGTCTAAATGTGGCAATGCAATCGATTTGGTATCAGCATAAAACTGGTCTAGGTTTTACTGGGCGTGGATCTATTGCACGAGGTGATTTTACGAAGGGTTTCGAAAATCAGACTAATTACGTTCAGTGATGTTCGTATTATGGCTTGCGATCGAAGACCAGAAGCGCGATGAAGATCTCTTCTCGCCATGATAAAAATACTCATTCTGTCGTTCCAGAACTTATCTGTCTGGTATAAGCTTGATAAAAACAAATGGTGTTGGTCGCTACTTGACAACTGAAAATATATAGCTTTCGACACTGTCCAAAGTAGGTCCCGTTATGTGATCTGTTCTAACGGAACTAACAGTTATTAAGTATATAAGAAGTGTGTAGCTTGATTACAGTTTAAAATACAGAGCGTACCTCGTAATGAAAGTAACACAAATGAGTTCTTCCAGCATTGCTTTCAATTATCTAACATATCAACATTATCACAGGGGTAATAGGTATTATTATTATTATTAAGATTAATAACTGCTCGCATAAGTCCCCTTTTATTCCATCGGTTTGTAGATAAGTACAGCGGACCCACTCCGGTTAGGCTCCTAATAAAGGCAAATGCTTGATACAATAGCTAAAAACAAGTGACTCTTGAGATAGGACACGTTCATATAGGATAAAGAGCTAATAGTGCTAGCCAAAATAATCATAAATACATCTACAAAGCGAGGCCT